AAAACTCCCTAAATAGCAAGTAGCTTATTCTTTAGGGACTGGACTCTGTTGGTGCACTTTTCTCCCAATCCCACAAAGATGTTCTGCACTGCCTCAAATGTATATTTTAGTCCTTTTGAATACTCAATGTTCAGCGCATAGAGAAGTCCAAAGAGTACCATGAAAGCAGTAGGAAAGTCAGGTAGGTCCTCCATGACGGCGGTTTCCTCAAGAATGATGGCGAAGTTTAGACATGTCTTTGTTGTCTGTGAGATAGTCCTCCATGACTTCAAGGATGCACAATTTCACACCTCTTGTGTAGGTTTCTTTCAAATCAGTGTCCTAAGAATGATATAAATTTCATTAAAAAATGGTTGTGCATATGTAAAAAAAAAAAAAAAAAAAAGCTCAAACTCTTGCAAACAAAACATGGCACTCTGACAAGCAGGACAAGGATAAAAGCCATGTGATCAAGCTCACCTGCCTCGATACTCACAAAAGGAGGTCCGGATGAATAAAAGGAAGAGCGAGAACAGTGCAAGATGAGTGAAGACCAGGCCTGGATTATTTATGTTACGTTTTATTTATGCGTCTCTTGACGAGTCCCTCACAGAGGACTGTCGCTCAAACATAAACAAAACGTAACGTAAATAGTCTAAGCCTGGTCCTCTTACATCCTTCACCGTCATTGCTCCTCCTTTCATCAATCCAAAGCTCTTCTGTGAGACACTCGAAACTGGTGCTGCATGCAGGTGAATCTCCTTATCAACCATGTCACCGGCCTTACACCGTTCTCATGGCTCTCAGCCTCGTACTGCTTGCCACAGGCACAGTATGCGTTAAACTGATGTAAATACTTTTTACAACAAGCCACATGGAAACTGTCAGCACATTTATTAAATATAACCACACATTTCATAAAATAGCAGTTTTAAATGAAAATATGACATGAAAAAAAGCTAAAAACTTACCAGAAAAGTCTTTGATATTGCATCACGCTCCCTGAGGTACAAAGGGAGTCCCCGTAAAGCTGTAGCGTGTCTGTGTGATAAGATATCTGTTGTCTAGAGGGAGATAAATTATTTTAATTATGATTTACTTCTACACGAATCCTTAAAGATCGTTTAAAGAGACTTAAAAAAGAGTGTCACTGAAAATGTATTAGGGATGGGCAAAGGGTCAGAAATGAAGGGGGCTCAGGGCAAAATAATCTACAAAAACTGACAACAAAAATGTAATCTATACTTCCACAATCTTGACCTATGTGATAATCACATAGGTCACATTTAAATGTAGCTTGCACCGTTGTTTTATCAGAATTTGTGTTGACCCTACACCCTATATAAATGTGTTTTCAACGTACCTGGTGTTTTGAAAGAGCAGACACACTCAGGGTACAGGCACAACAATGGTTCACGTCAGCCTGGGCGCCAGTGCTTTAGCCTGCAGTGTCTCAGCAGCAGATTTTGACTGGCACAACTGTATTTGCAGTATCTACACTGCATGAAGTTTCCTCTCAAGGTAGATCTGTTTAAGAAAAAAAAAAAGACAAACGTGAATGATCCCCAGATAGCAGACGGGTGTGGGCCACTTCAGGCAATGATTCGGCACTGGTGGCCTTCTTATGGCCCGGACCAAATGTGTCTGAGCCTGAAGTGGCCCACATGTAAAATGGCAAATATGGGCCAAAAAATGTAAATCACATGTGGGCCATTTTAGGCAAAGATGCGGCACTCGTGGCAATGTGTAATCTGAATCTTAGCCTAAAGTGGCCCATTTGATAGATAATAAATATGGCCCAAATATGACAAACCAAATGCGGGCCACTTATGGCAAAAATGTGGCACAATTGACTATGACTAATCTGGATGTAAACCAAATATGGCCCACAGATGTTTCAGCAAATGTGGCCCACTTATCTTAAAACATATCTGGGCCTGGTTTGGCAAAGATATGGCTCAGTGGCACTGGCTCATCTATATGTTAGCCAAAAGTGGCCCACATATAATGTTGTAAATGTGGCCCAGTTATTTAAAACATATCTGGGCCAGTTTTGGCAAAGATATGGAACAGTGGCAGTGGCTCATCTTGAAGTGAGCCAAAACTGGCCCACATTTGACGTTGCAAATGTGGCCCAGTTATGTTGTAGCACATCTAGATCAGGTTTGGCAAAGATATGGCTGAGTGACCACTGGCTCAACGCGATGTGAGCCAAAAGTGGCCCACATATAGGGTTGCAAATGTGGCCCAATTATCTTGTAACATATCAGGGCCAGTTTTGGCAAATATATGGCACAGTGGCACCAGCTCATCTGAATGTGAGCCAAAAGTGGCCCACATGTATTGTGGCAAATGTGGCCCAATTATCTTATAACACATCTGGGCCAGATTTGGCAAAGATATGACTCATCGAGAACTGACTCATCTGGATGCAAGCCAAACGTGGCCCACATATAATGTTGCAAATGTGGCCCAGTAATCTCAAAACATATCTGGGCCGGATTTGGCAAAGATATGGCTGAGTGACCACTGGCTCATCTGGATGTGAGCCAAAAGTGGCCCACATATAAAGTGGAAAATGTGGCCCAATTATCTTATAACACATCTGGGCCAGATTTGGCAAATATATGGCTCATCGAGAACTGGCTCATCTGAATGTAAGCCAAAAGTGGCCCACATATGATGTTGCAAATCTGGCCCAGTTATCTCAAAACATATCTGGGCCAGATTTGGCAACGATATGGCTGAGTGACCACTGGCTCATCTGGATGTGAGCCAAAAGTGGCCCACATATAATGTGGAAAATGTGGCCCAATTATTTTATAACACATCTGGGCCACGTTTGGCAAAGATATGGCTCATCGAGAACTGGCTCCTCTGAATGTAAGCCAAAAGTGGCCCACATATAATGTTGCAAATGTGGCCCAGTTATCTCAAAACATATCTGGGCCAGATTTGGCAAAGATATGGCTGAGTGACCACTGGCTTATCTGGATGTGAGCCAAAAGTGGCCCACATATAATGTGGAAAATGTGGCCCAGTTATCTTATAACACATCTGGGCCACGTTTGACAAAGATATGGCTCATCGAGCACTGGTACATCCTGAAGTAAGCCAAAAGTGGCCCACATATAATATTGCAAATGTGGCCCTGTTATTTCAAAACATATCTGAGCCAGGTTTGGCAAAGATATGGCTGAGTGACCACTGGCTCATCTGAATGTGAGCCAAAAGTGGCCCACATATAATGTGGAAAATGTGACCCAGTTATCTTATAACACATCTGGGCCACGTTTGACAAAGATATGGCTCATCGAGCACTGGTACATCCCGAAGTAAGCCAAAAGTGGCCCACATATAATATTGCAAATGTGGCCCAGTTATTTCAAAACATATCTGGGCCAGGTTTGGCAAAGATATGGCTGAGTGACCACTGGCTCATCTGGATGTGAGCCAAAAGTGGCCCACATATAATGTTGCAAATGTGGCCCCGTTATCTCAAAACATATCTGGGCCAGATTTGGCAAAGGTATGGCTGAGTGACCACTGGCTCATCTGAATGTGAGCCAAAAGTGGCCCACATATAATGTGGAAAATGTGACCCAGTTATCTTATAACACATCTGGGCCACGTTTGACAAAGATATGGCTCATCGAGCACTGGTACATCCTGAAGTAAGCCAAAAGTGGCCCACATATAATATTGCAAATGTGGCCCAGTTATTTCAAAACATATGTGGGCCAGGTTTGGCAAAGATATGGCTGAGTGACCACTGGCTCATCTGGATGTGAGCCAAAAGTGGCCCACATATAATGTTGCAAATGTGGCCCCGTTATCTCAAAACATATCTGGGCCAGATTTGGCAAAGGTATGGCTGAGTGACCACTGGCTTATCTGGATGTGAGCCAAAAGTGGCCCACATATAATGTGGAAAATGTGGCCCAGTTATCTTATAACACATCTGGGCCACGTTTGACAAAGATATGGCTCATCGAGCACTGGTACATCCTGAAGTAAGCCAAAAGTGGCCCACATATAATATTGCAAATGTGGCCCAGTTATTTCAAAACATATCTGGGCCAGGTTTGGCAAAGATATGGCTGAGTGACCACTGGCTCATCTGAATGTGAGCCAAAAGTGGCCCACATATAATGTGGCAAATGTGGCCCGGTTATCTTATAACACATCTGGGGTGGGTTTGGCAAATATATATTGCTCAGTGACCACTGGCTTATCTGGATGTCAGCCAAAAGTGGCCCACATATAATGTTGCAAATGTGGCCCAGTTATCCCAAAACATATCTGGGCCGGATTTGGCAAAGATATGGCTAAGTGACCATTGGCTCATCTGGATGTGAGCCAAAAGTGGCCCACATATAATGTGGCAAATGTGGCCCAATAATCTTCTAACACATCTGGGCCAGGTTTGGCAAAAATATGGTTAAGTGACCATTGTCTCATCTGGATGTGAGCCAAAAGTGGCCCAGATACAATACTGAAAATGTGGCCCAGTTATCTTAAAACAATTCTGGGCCTGTTTTGGCAAAGATATGGCACAGTTGGCACTGGCTCACCTAGAACCCAGTCAGCAAATTTCCTTTGGCAAAGATGTGGGCCAGATAAACCGCTGAGCTGTGGCCCAGATTAGTTTGTGTTTGCCGGCCCAGATATGGCCCACATCTCCTTTGCCAGAACTAAACCAAAGCAGTGCCATAAGTCCACCAAGCATGAGCCAAATATGATTTTATGTGGCCCAAATATGGCACACTTCTTCATTGCCAGAACTGAACCAAAGGAATGCCATAACTCCACCAAGCATAAGCCAAATAATACAATTTAATGTGGCCCATGAGCCTTATATGTAATTTTAGTATGGTTGAGTTCTGTAAAAATCTAACGGCCCTTATGTGGCCCACATGCAGCTGACAGTATGTAAAAGTCTTATTAACTCAAAGGTAAATGAAACACTCAACAACAAATGTACTCAAAATAATTTACTTTTGACATGTTTAATTACAGCTTAAAGAATAAATATAACATTTAAGACAACAGCTACTAACAACAGATACTCAATTGTGCTTAATAATTTAAGTGGAATAAATTGAATTAAGAATAAATATTAATATAATATAAATAACATTCAAAGAGTCTTAGACAAAACATTAAGAATAAATATTAATAATATAAATAACATTCAAGAGTCTTACTCTAATGCTTTAAGAAAACAGCTACTACAATAGTTATTTAAGACAACAGCTACTAACATCTACTCAGTTGTGCTTAATAATTTAAGTGGATTTCAGTTGAAAACATTAAGAATAAATATTAATAATATAAATAACATTCAAGAGTCTTATACTAATGCTTTAAGAAAACAGCTACTACAATAGTTATTTAAGACAACAGCTACTAACATCTACTCAGTTGTGCTTAATAATATAAGTGGATTTCAGTTGAAAACATTAAGAATAAATATTAATAATATAAATAACATTCAAAGAGTCTTAGACTAATGCTTTTTTATCTCTGAGAGTGAAAAAAACAGAAAAATAAATAAATAAAAGTAACTTGTACAGAGAGAAATTGGTCAATTTAAAGGAACTTGAAAGGTAAGCTGAAATGTGTGTTGATTTACAGGAACGTCTCTAATGAGGGTCGGCAATGTGTTGTTGGGCCTCACGCTTCTTCAATCGCTCCCTTCTCCCCCCCTCTCGGTCTCCAGCAAGGTGCAACCATTTAATGATGTTAAATTCAATGTCTTTATTTGATGCTTTTCCAGTGAGGGGGTTTTGCCTGACTGCACCTGCAATAAAGATGAATTTAAATAATGTTAGCAGCAATACAACCTGGAAGCTAGAGCTGGAGGATAATGGGGAAAAAAATAAATCATAAAATATCTATTATTTCCTTTAATATTTTAATTTCAATTATAAACCACCTCTGATTGACCACTGTGTGTGTGTGTGTGTGTGTGTGTGTGTGTGTGTGTATATATATATATATATATACAGTAATTTCACTTAAATAACAATTAATAGGTAATTATCATTGCCATTTAAGTGAAATCACTGAACTTAAATATACAAGTTTGATAAAAATCATTATTAAAGAAGAAAATTTCAAATGGCATTTAGAGGCTTTTGCATCTGAACTCTTCATAGAGAGAGAGAGAGAGAGAGAGAGAGAGAAAATCAGTATATTTTCAAAAGGGAATTGCAAAATGTGGGCCATAATAATACCATAATTTCTTAAGACAAATTATTTAAATTTTGTTTATATAATATATTTTTAGAATACTTTTTCAGCAATCAGTTAAAATAAAAAAACAACAACACTGCATGTATGATAATGTACAGTATGATAATCTCAAGCAAAACTATTGTGATTACAGCTTTAAAATAAATAAAAAGATAACTTTATGCAAAAAAACAACTTATAAATAAAAAAATGCAGTCACTTAAAGATGAACTGAAAAAAAATCGACATTGAAAACGTGTTATGGCAATTAAAAGTAAATTACACTAAACATTTTAATAAAACATATTAATATAGCTTTTTAGAATCAACACAAAAATTGTGCTTGTTAGCACTGGCAATTTCGATGACGTCACTGGCATGGTATGACCCGTGAAGCTACATAGACAACATCTGCAGGTCTTATATACACAGACGAAAATGAGCAATTTTAACGGCATGGATTACGCATTTGAGCCCGTGAAGGAAAGGCCAGAAGTATCTGACTACCAGGACATGGAGGACGATCAGTTTCATGCCCTACTTACAGTACAGGATCGTTTGGGGGGAAGTGACAGTGGGCGCGGGTGGTGCTAGAGCATGGACACCGCACCGGAGTCAATCTGTTGCAGAGAGGTCAACCTGGAACATTTATTGATCGGCGAAAAATGCATCACCGTGCACCGTTCATTTCGGATGCTGTGCGGTGATAGAAACCAGTCCCTCCAGAAAAACGTGATTATGCGATCGCCGAATTCAATGCATAATCAGCCGAAGTCTGCATATTCAGGGTGGCTACAGGTATAAACTTTTTAAGACTTTTTAATACCACTTCTAAATTAAATTTAAGACCAAACTTTCAATGGAAATATAAATTAATACTGAAAATATACAGTACAATTTCCAAGTAAACACACTGTCTGTTCAAAAATATGGTGAAATGACAATAACCAATTGTCAATTGCGTACATGCGGTCGCCTGTGGAGTGAAAAGAAATATAGAAGGCATTTTTATAAATGTCTTAAGCCTTGTATGTTTTAATAATAAAGTATACTAATAAAGGCGTAGATTTAATTTACTAATAAAGGCATATAACCAGTTTATTTATAGTGTACTAATAGTTTTATATAATTCGTTGGTTAATTAAACAAATAAAAAGATTTAAAAAAAGACTGAGATTTGTTTGGTTATTGTACCTTTTAATTAATAAATTAAAATTAATTTGCTATTTTTCAGATCAATATATTTATTTTCCTTAATTTTAATTAATCCTAACTTTATTCTCATCATAAGAATTATAAATAATTGATTTCCGTATAAAATAATACTACAAACACTTAAAAATAAACAGATTAGTGCCCTGTTTTGAGGACAAGAAATGAAAACCAATGCGATATGATGAATGTCCAAAAGATGGAACTCTGTAACGGCCACCTAGTGTTCAGTAGTGTTCATGACATGTTTATATGCCTTTAAGATGACTTCTTCTATGGTGTTCTTTATTGTATGCGTGATGTAATGTGAGCGCACATGCACAGTCAGTGAAGATGACCGATCTATCGCGGGTTTGTTTTATTATAATGTGTTTACTTCCACTTTGATTTGTAGCGTTTTACAGAGTGTTTTCTTTAACCTGTTAATGAGAGTATAGGCCTACACAAATATGATCGCACCCGCGTTTCTCTAACACACACAGGTTACGTTACCTTGTAGAAACTATTCGACCTGGCTGGCGAACGATTGCCTTTGATATACATACGTGATGCATATATTGCATATTTAAGACCTATCCAATCTGAATTTAAGACAATGTAATACTTTTTAAGGCCTTATTTTTAGGAAAATTGATTTAAGGCTTTTTAATGACCCGTGGCCACCCTGAATATTCATGCGGGGGCCGCATTTTCGCCGCATAAATTGCTGATTTCAGTGCAATTTCATAATCCTTGCATTTTCATTGCAAAAAAGGCACATATCTTAGCAGAAAGTTGAAAAATGTGCGTTTGCTTCACACGAGCAGCCATTTCCCCCTGTATCCGTGGGAACCTTATGAAGTGACGCAATTATGCGAAGGGGTAGAGCTGGTACCCCGAGTGGACCTCTAGATTGAAAAAGCGTCAATGCAAGTGAATGAGAGAAAATAATCATTTTCTGATCCCGTTTGAATTGTGCCATGAATGTAACATATGTTGTCTGTGAATTTTTTATATAATTTCTCATGTAACGAGTTTATTGTATGATTCTTTGGCTAGCAGTTGTGGAATAGACATAACGAGAAAGACTACACGTCACATATGTGATAACACCGCATAACACATTTTCCCTCCACAAATCACAGGTTTCACCACGCTCAACTATTTTGTCCTCTCCCTTAGGGCTGGGTAATAAATATCGATTTCTCGATATTAATCGATTCTCATTTTTACGAACCGATATCGATTCTTAAGTCTCAAGAATCGATTATTCATCCCGTTTCATTTGAATGAATGGATCATTGTATCACGGCTGCGCGCATAAAAAAAAAAAAAAAAAAAAAAAAAATCGCAATCATCTTTCTCCTTTGTTACTATTGATATGAAGCAAAGTCTCAATTTTCAAATTACATCCATTTTCTTTAGAAATTCAAAAACATAAATAGGGTTTTGTCGCTGTGGCGTGAGATCGCTCTGGAGAAGCAGCAGCGCTGATCTCTCTTCCGGCTTAATAATACCAGTCACAGCGCCAAATAAACATGAATGAGCATCTGAAAGTGTGTTAAAGATAGAGGACAACTTATCCAAATTCGTATCATGTCACATTGATTCGCTCAATCAGCGTTTCAACCGTGGAAAGACGTCAGTTAAACAGCTTTCACACTCCAGCATTGCAATCTTTGACATCGCAGCCTGTTAAAGGGTTAGTTCACCCAAAAATGAAAATTAAGTCATTAATTACTCACCCCCATGCTGTACCAACCCCGTAAGACCTTCGTTCATCTTCGGAACACAAATAAAGATATTTTTTGATTGAATCTGAGGGCTGGATCACTTTTCCATAGACAGCCTGAGGGACTGGCTCTTGACGGCCCAGAAAGTCATTAAAAGAAAAGGTTTAAATATTCCATGTGCCTACAGTGGCTCAACTATAACTTTATCAAGCGACGAGACTACTTTTTGTGCGAAAAAAAAAAACGTAAATAATGACTTTATTCGACTTTCCATTACTTCCTTATGGGCGCATGCGCGAGAACTGAGACGAGACCGTTCTTCTTCGACTACTTTTTGTTACCGGCTGCTCACCGCTTAGGAGTTTTACCGCCCCCTACCGTATAAGATGACGTACTGCTTGTAAACAGAACGTTTTGCACCTCCGGCTATATCAGTACGTCATCTTATATATACGTCATCTCTACTCAATCTGCTTTTCTTTTTGTGTATTAAAAAAACACCACTGAACTGCAGATTTAGTTTTTTGTATAGTGAATATATTCAAGTAGATTTGGCCTCTAGTTTATTTTGGTTTGTAATTTCATTTAATATTTATACATTTGACAATATTTAAATGTTTTACAACAAAGTACATTACACTATATAAGTATTTAAGTACACTCCCTGCATTATGCACTTTTAGTACTTTTGTGTGTTCTAACCTAATGCTGCTGTTGTCTTCTGTGCCAAGACTTGAGTTTTATTTCATGTTTGATACATTCAAGAAGTGTATTTTTTAGGTAAAATTAAAGGTTCAGTTCATTTATCTGACTGCTTGTATTTATTGACAAAATTGTATACATGTGCAGAGCAAAATAAAAAAATAAGGATGCAGTGCATCGTCAATGCATCGAGATAATCGAACCGAACCGAAGACTTTATAATCGTAATCCAACCGAACCGTGAGACCAGTGTAGGTTAACACCTCTATTGTCCAAAGTGCTATACAAATAAAAAATGACTTCTAAAAAAGGTTCTTACCAATGACAACTTCCTTTAAGACCAGGCTGTGGACACCAATCTTCCCATTAACTCCTCTCCAATTCATAACACGTGCAACAGCAGTTGTAAAAGTGGCTTTCAGCACTCTCCACACGGTGTCTTTGAGGTCAAAGCCACCAACCAGACCCAGAAAGGTAGTCTCCGAAAAAATATAAAAAACATTGTGTAAGTGGTTAAAACAGGCATTTAAATAGACCACCCTAAAATGAAAATGCTTTTATATTCAAAAATTAACTATAAACCATCACATACTCCATCTGAAAACATTTTCTAGGATTGTTATATGGAAATTCTTGTCATTGCCCAACCTATACCGCACGTTTGGGCTGGGCAGTATGACAATACATACCATCTACCTATCTATAAATTACAGGGACGTCTGTGTGTGTTGTGTCAGCCATTCAAAGTAAATGGGGGGAAAAACGTTCGCCCCGTGTGAATGCACCGTTATAGCTTTAAAGGGGTCATATACCCGTGGTTGTTGATTGACAGCAGTGTTTCAACACAGACCCGCCCTGAGCGAGCTGTTATCGTAGACTAAAGTCTGTCATTGTTGATACACTGGAGCAGAATGGCGTCTAAGCGATTGTGTTGTTCTGTTCTTGGGTGATATAACAAACTCAGAAATCATTCTGATGTTCCTAAATCCAAACCGCTGAAGATGAGTTTTGTTTACAATGGGAATATTCCCCAATATCAACGTCAATACTTTTTTGTTTGCGCGATTCATTTATCACCAGACTGCTTTATAAACGAGGATCAGTATACAGCTGGTTTTGCTAAGCTGCTCCTGACAAAAAGAATCGGTACCAACTGTTTATGTTCCCTCTGCACCTAAAGTTTTATTAATCTTTATATTAATCTGTGCATATCTCAGGAAAAAGTTTTTCATGACCATTAGTTGTAACGTCAATCAATGAACTAACGTATACATCAGTAAACACAGCGTTCGTATCTCACTACTCTACCCTGCCAGATAGATCAAAGTAACATTACGTTAACCAAGCATTCACAAACATCCTCAAGCCTTAACTAATCGAACTTCTTTGCGGCCCTCATCTTGTTCCGGTGAACAGTTACTCCAGTTCAAACTGATACGGTTGCACAGATGTGTCCTCAGAAACCTTCAACTGTTGTCAAGGCAACGGGTTCACGCCCGCAGAACAGAGGGGCGGGGTTTATTATTTAAAGGCATATGTATGAAGGTAAAATGATGACAAAAAGAATTGCATGCGCAAGGTAAGATTTGTGAAAGAGTACATAAGATTGCAAGCGTAAAATTGCGAAACTCGGTTAGTGAGAGAATCGTGCCAAAATTGGAAGCGCAGGAAAAAGAGAGACGCAACTGTGCAGATCGGGTTATTTTGGGAACTTTTTTACCCATGCCCACAAGTCATTCAGACATTGGCAACAGTTTATTTTTTTACACAAAGTTTAATTTTACGCAATTCATCTGTTTTGCAGTTCTGCCTCTGTTGTTTTCGTTTGCAGACTGCTGTTCTTAGGCTTGCAATACTTTTGGCCGCAGTTGTGCGCAAAACCCTTGTCAAAAGATTAAGCGTGGAAAAACGAAAGTCTGAAGAAAACAGATCTTATTTATTTTGCGTTAGCATGAAGCTGCAGCTTCAAAATACATGAATTGCACTTACGAATAACAGTTAAATGCTGCAAATATTTTTTTCTTACACTTGAAGGGCGATTTACACCTTTACAAATCTTCCTTTGCGCATGCAAATTTATTTTACGCTTGCAATCTTATATAATCTTTCACAAATCTTACCTTGCACATGCAATTCTTTGTCATCATTTTACCTTCATACATATGAGACTCAAACAGCTTGCTGAAAACAAGAGCTGATTTTGACCCTGTAAAATGGTGTTTTCTTAAAACACAAATGAGAATGTTTAATAGAAGTATATTACAAAGTTTTCATTTAGACCTTAAACATTCATATTAACTTGTACAAAAATGGCATTATATAAACCCCTTTAATAAGAAGAGATTTATATTTAATTCATGCAGGGAAGACCATGAAGTATTTTATATTTACATTTTATTTTATTTCTTTACTGTTTCAAACTACTAGGCTATATTTTATTTCTTACCAATTCTGATTTAGCATCAGGATTCATCTTCAGCTCAGCCTCCAGGCACTGGAGAGACTCAACATTTTTGATAGGAAGACGATCTCTGAACTTGGCCCCATCATGGACATCAGACCTTGGGCGATGTGTTGACTGTAGGATTCTCATTATTGTATTTTGCTGGTCTAGAAGCATTTCTTGTTTTGTCAATATCTCTCTTAGCAAAACTGAAAGAAATTAACATGCAAATTAGCTGACTGACACAATCAAGTAAATGTGTTGCACTAGGACTTGCTATATTCAGAACAGTTTGGATAATTTAAAAGATTATTTTCTAAATGCCATATGTCCAAAGAACATTCATCTCTATAACCATTCATCATAGATATTAAAGTCCCTGTAAAGTCAAAATTAAGTATGTGTTCTGAGAATGTCACACCACAGAAAAATGTGTTATTAGCCACCCAGCCAAATTTAAATGATAAAAAAGCCGGCAAGTACATAAAATAAGCTATCAAAATCTTGAAAAAATGAGCAGTTATCTCTGTTCTCAAACGCTGGGGGCGTGTTTGCTGGCTGTGCTGAAACCACGGCCATTAGTGGGAGCTGTCGACAGTGATATAAGGTAAAACTGCTTTCGCGACGGGAGGATGAACGCTGAGGTGGGAGATAGTCGTTTCGGCCCCGTTCACCAGCAACAGCGGATCATCAATGAATCCCAGTTGTCTCTGAGGAAAGTTTATAAAACTATTCAGTGTAAAACGATCACTACAGAGGCGGGTGTTGGGGGTGATCCTCAGCTCTTCATCAACAAGGTTGGCTCTCTAAAAACCTCTTCTTGATGTGATCGTTTTTTAGGGAATTTAAATGAAGATACCGATCTGTTTTGTACATGATCGCATCCAGGTAGCCTATGCATGTCTGTGTCGAAGGTATAGCTAGCTAGCAAACTGTAGGCTCAGCTGTAGTTGTACTGACAGTCACTCGCGATTGAGCGGTGAATGCGAATGTGCTCGGGGAGTGTTGTGTGTTAAGGGAGAGATCAGACTCTGTGCGTCATCAACTAGGGGCGTGTCCAGGAGCTCATGGGCTCCAGTGCGTCATCGAGCCCTGTTTTAGCCCCGCCCAAACAATCCATAAAATTGCAATGGTGAAAACTGTTTAACGGTCTAACTCCACATTTCAGTACTTCACAGTTCACAGACTTTGTAATGTTTTAGCAATACATATGTAACATTTATAATGCGTTTAGAACTTTTTTGTAGAATTGCCTTTACAGGGACTTTAAAGGATTAGTTCACCTCAAAATGAAAATGTATTAACCCAAATGCAAGATATCCATGTCTTTCTTTCTTCAGTGGAACATAAATTAAGTTTGCGTAAAATTTCTGGGGGTTTTTTTGTTTTTGTTTTCCACAGAAATGATTTCCATCGCATTTCTAATGCAGTTTCAAAGTTCTTTGAAGTGCTTCAATGGGCTTTGCAACAAGCCGGGAACAACATCAATGGTGCGATGGTGCCAGCGGAAATACTCATATATGGAAGTACCATTTGTAAACAGAATTTATTCACCCCAATGCCATATCTTGGATGGCATTCGGGTGAATAAATTATTAGGAAATTTTCATTTTGGGGTAAACTAATTCTTTAATCAAGAGTATTAAACCTGTGTTATCTTTAATGTTGCACAATTGTAACATACTTTGTAGTGGTTGGTTTCTCCTTAAGCCAGATTCTGAGCCTGCTGGCTGCAAGTAATCTAAACTTTGCTGGCTATTTTGCTGGAAGACAGATGGTTGGTGATTTGGTAGTGGCTGACTAGCTAGCTGTTGGAGAGGTGGTTGGCTCCATGCTGGCTGCTGACTAGCTGGTTTATAGAACAGGGATTGGTCACTTGCTTGTGGCTGATTAGCTGGCTTGTAGATCAGGGATTGGTCACTTGCTTGTGGCTGACTAGCTGGCTTGTAGATCAGGGATTGGTCACTTGCTTGTGGCTGACTAGCTGGCATGTAGATCAGGGATTGGTCACTTGCTTGTGGCTGATTAGCTGGCTTGTAGAACGGGGATTGGTCACTTGCTAGTGGCTGACTAGCTGGCATGTAGATCAGGGATTGGTCACTTGCTTGTGGCTGACTAGGTGGCTTGTAGAACGGGGATTGGTCACTTGATGGTGGCTGATTTGCTGGCTGTTGGAGAGGTCGTTGGCTCCATGCTGGTTGGTATAAAGGAAATTGGTCAATCACTGGTAGCTGACTAGCTGTCTGGCAGAGAGAGGGCTGCTGTCTTGCTGAAGAGGGGCTTTTAGTTGACTGACTAAATGTTTGACTTGCTGGGGGCTTAATACGAGGCGGTGGTTCCAGGCCTTTCAAATTTTGCCCTTCATTATCATCATCATCATCACTGTCACTCAAAAGTCTAAAGTTTTGAAGTCTATAGCTCTTCCTTTCATAGAAAAATAGAAATTGACACAAGGTTACTACTGCCATATACTGAAAGAGATATTTGCTAGATTAAAAAAAAACAATAATAATAAAATAAAACTCATAAGAGAATAAAAAACTCCTGTTGGAAAAGAGAAATGTTTGCTTACATAATTCGTCTGGGTTTTTTAGCCCCACTCTCTGTATCAGATTGAATGTCAGAGAAGAGTTCTGCTTCAGGGAGCTTTTTCCTGGCATCATCATAGTTGTCTAAAACACATGCAAGACTAAATGACAACCACATTGTCTAAATTGTTCACACATACATTCTTTACTGGTAAACTACCGGTAAATAAACATTAACATTAAAATAATTTTGTTTATTAATCAATAATTAATAGTTACTGACGGTTATGCCATTCCAAACCTGTAAGACCTTCATTCACAGGGTTCATACAGATTCTGTAAAATGAACTTCCAGGACTTTCAAGGACTTTTCAAGCACTACCTTTTGGGATGTCAAAGACTTCAATCAACACCTATCAAATTCGACTGTAACCGAACGTGACGCGCTGTTTGAATGCTGAATGGAGAATTACTGTCAGTAATCTAATTCTCCATTCAGGATTTAAACAATAAAAACAGTTATTTAACAATAACACAGAATAGTATACGCAAAATATCGGATTTCAATTCCCACCCCTACATGTCTTTCTTTCTTCAGTTGAAAAGAAATTAAGGTTTTTGATGAAAACATTCCAGCATTTTTCTCCATATAATGGACTTCAATGGGAACCAAACGGTTCAAGGTCCAATAGACAGTTTCAGTACAAACTGCAAACTGTTCAAAGAGCTTTAAACGATTCCAGGCTAAGGGTCTTATCAAGCGAAATAAGGGTCTTATCAAGCGAAACGAGCGCTCATTTAAAAAAAAAAAAAGCTTAAGTTTTATAAGCTCAAATGGTCGCCTTGCTCTGTACTGCGATGCACATTGGTAACTCTCCTGTTTGAACTCGTTCATCAAAATCAAATCTTTTTCTGAGTCAATTCATTTGTTTGGTTCATTGAATGAACCAATTGACTCGGAATAAGATTCGTTCATTTTGATGAATGAGTTCGAACAGGAGAGTCATGTACGTGCATCGCAGTACAGAGCAAGGCGACATTTATATACCATGTATTCTGGTTCTGATGTGTGAAAGATATCTTACTGGTAAAAAAACAGAACGCCATTGCGTGATTAAACAGCACCTTTTTTGTGTTTAGTGGAAAAGTTGTACTTGTAATTCTACAGTAATTAACCAGGCTTACTATGCAAAAGAGACAAACAGAATAAACATGAGCATAATTCAGGGCTCTAGACTTCGACCAAATAGTCGCATTTTGCGACCAAAATTTGAGAGTGTGCGACTGAATTTTACATCCAGTCGCACATGTGCGACCGGTAAATTTGTCACACGTTAAACGCATGGTAAGCGTGGAAGGGACGCGTCAATGAATCCGTGACAAGAATAGCGCGATTAAACGTCTGTGGGAAGGAGACAGAGACAAATATCACAACCTGATGTGCGTCTGAGCAATAAGCGATCTATCGACACGTTACCTAGCAACGAATACAAACAAAATGAAAGTGGAACTAAAATACGGCTATTTTCACTCCAAGTCCTTATAGACCATTTCACAAGATGTAAACAACACTGGTCCAGAAACACTTCCTGTTTCAGTTTGTAACTGTTTTCTTTATTTCACATGTAAAGAAAACATCTTAAAGATGTTTGTTTAACTTTTTGATTCAGTTTTAAATGTTCTGTTGGTTGTATTTTATCCCAGCTTTTATGTAGTGTTAAAAAACTGAAACAGGAAGTGCTTCTGGACCAGTGTTGTTTACATCTTGTGAAATGGTCTATACATAGGCCTACATGTTTTCTCTCCTTTTGTTTTTAATTAATATTAAGACATTATAAGTGATAATAACTAAAGTTAACTTCATCTACACCCTAAATTAATCTAAGTGATTTATTGTCAGCCCCAGTGCTACCAGTATTTTTTTTGTTTTGTTTTGTTTTTTGTATAACTTGGTGTGAGTTCTGATTTGAGGTGATGCTGCCCTCAAATTTGAGTCTGGAGCCCTGTGAACTTAAAATAAAACAGCATATCATAATGTTAAGTCTATTTATTATTAAAGAATTTGTCAGTATTACAGTTATTTTGGGGGAAATTTGAATAATTGCATTGCGAGCTGATTTAAGGTGTGCCCCTAAATTTTCTGCTTGTGCTCCTAAAATTTTCAGTCAGGGGCAACAGCGCTCCTAGTAAAAAAAGTTAGTCTGGAGCCCTGTAATTTATAAAACATTTAGGCCTATACATTTTATAACATTGTATAAAAATAGAAAAGTTGATAGAATCCACAGATATTCTAAACACTATCAAATATTTTTCTTTTGCAATAAAAATCTGTTTTCCTTCATTTTGTTAATAAAGCTCAAAACTTATAGTGAGACATTAAATATTATGCATCACATATATTTTTTGGGGTTAAACATTAAAGAACTACCTGTTGTGTAGAGAACCTTTACTTGAAAGATTTTCCACTCTTTCTTGGGTTTCGTTGCAAGTTTCACAGCCTTTGTGAGGCTCTCCCCTCTTAGGCGTGGCCAGACACATTGGTCACCATCTACCCAACAGCTGGGCACCACTTCCACCTCATTTGTTTCCAAAAAAGAAACGATATGGAACATGCCTATTATTGAATAGAAAAAAAGAAAAATAACATAAATCTGAAAATATCGTTCACATACTAAAACAGTTCATTTGAGTTCCACAGAGGGTCGCGCTCAAATAACGTTAAATCAGAATATCAGAAAGTCAACAGAAACAGATGATAATAATACTCTTCCCACTGGACACAGCTTACTGAATACAGTTGTAGTAGTACTCTTCCCGCTGGACACAGCTTCACTGCTTACAGTCTGTAGACACACTCTTCCCGCTGGATACAGCTTCACTGCTTACAGTCTGTAGACACACTCTTCCCGCTGGACACAGCTTCACTGCTTACAGTCTGTAGACACACTCTTCCCGCTGGATACAGCTTCACTGCTTACAGTCTGTAGACACACTCTTCCCGCTGGACACAGCTTCACTGCTTACAGTCTGTAGACACACTCTTCCCGCTGGACACAGCTTCACTGCTTACAGTCTGTAGACACACTCTTCCCGCTGGACACAGCTTCACTGCTTACAGTCTGTAGACACACTCTTCCCGCTGGACACAGCTTCACTGCTTACAGTCTGTAGACACACTCTTCCCGCTGGACACAGCTTCACTGCTTACAGTCTGTAGACACACTCTTCCCGCTGGATACAGCTTCACTGCTTACAGTCTGTAGACACACTCTTCCCGCTGGACACAGCTTCACTGCTTACAGTCTGTAGACACACTCTTCCCGCTGGACACAGCTTCACTGCTTACAGTCTGTAGACACACTCTTCCCGCTGGATACAGCTTCACTGCTTACAGTCTGTAGACACACTCTTCCCGCTGGATACAGCTTCACTGCTTAAAGTCTGTAGACACTCTTCCCGCTGGACACAGCTTCACTGCTTACAGTCTGTAGACACTCTTCCCGCTGGACACAGCTTCACTGCTTACAGTCTGTAGACACACTCTTCCCGCTGGATACAGCTTCACTGGTTACAGTCTGTAGACACTCTTCCCGCTGGATACAGCTTTCTGCAGTCACTTTTCATTCAGAAACACCACCTCTCAGGATTCGTGCAAGAGCTCCCAGTCTCTCTCTCACACTGCTGACAGCCCGGTCCGCTTATATGTGGTCTCCTCACGCCAATTCCTGCAATCACAGACAGTTGTTTGTCATTTGAACTTGACCCACTTATTCACCGCTCGGCTCCGTCCCCGCTCTCCCACTAAAGACTTCGCTGAACCACGCCCCCCTCGCCACAATATATATATATATATATATATATATATATATATATATATATAAATAAGTTTAGACACCATGCTAAAGTTGACTAAAAAGCGGAATGAAAAAAAAAATCTTTTTGAAATTCAACTTAATTGGAAAAATCCAATTTTTAAGGACACCAATTTTCTTTGTGAATGAATAAGGTATACCTAGAGATTGGCATGGAGTACATTCCATAAGATCATCTCTCAATGCAAATCAAACCAGCTATTAGGCTAACTGAAATAAAACCATGCCAATCTCTAGGTGTGGTGGAAGGTGTGTGATGATGTGGGGCTATTTTAATCCCAAAGGCCAAGGGAACTTTCAGGATGCATAGTATCCTGGATCCATGAAGTAACTGGCCTTTAAAAATAAAAAATCTACCTGACTCTATGGGAATTTAACATAGGGGTGTCCAGACTTATGCACCCTGTATTTTAAGGAAGAACATTTATTTATATAATAAAAATAAATGAAAACTATATATATATATATATAGAGAGAGAGAGAGAGAGATGGATATACATATCCAAAAAAAACAACAACAACACATTTGTCTATATACATACACTACATGTATATACATGTGTGTATATATATATATATATATATATATATATACACACACACACACACACACACTTATTTTATTTTTTATTTTTTTTAAAGAAAAAAAGTCGAGGCTTAGTGATCACAGGAAAAGTGGGGTCCCGTGGCCAAGCCAATTAAGAACCACGGACTCTACTTTATATTTTATCAACAATTCATTAAATGCTTAATACAAATTGAATTGACAATATAACTTTGTTTGATATTCATTCTATTAAATTTGCAATCGTGCCTATATTCAGGAAAAACATAATTAACCTTTATTTAACTAGGCAAGTCACAAAATGAAAGTTCTGTCATCGTTTACTCACCCTCAAGTTGTTTCAAACCTGTATGAACTTCTTTCATCTGCTGAACACAGAATAAGATATTTTGAAGAATGTCTGTCACTAAACAGTTGATGGACCCCACTGACTTGCATAGAAGAAAAAAAATACTATGGAAGTCAGTGGGGTCCATCAACTGTTCAGTGACATTCTTCACTAAACAGATTCACTAAACATTCTTCAAAATATCTTATTCTGTGTTCAGCGGATGAAAGAAGTTCATATAGGTTTGGATCCATTTGAGAGTGAGTAAATCATAACAGAATGTGCTTTTTAAGGGAACTATTCTTTAAAGATCACATTCTTATTTTCAACAACCGCCTGTCAAGAGAGTTAAAAACTCCTAAAAGATATGGCCTACAAAGCATAAAAACACATGGTTGCTCGATTGATAATGCTTAAATATATCAAATAAAAATACAAAATCTTCTATGGAGCATTTTTTTGCTCCCTTATATAATATTGAAATTTGGATGTCATTCTATTAGGCTATGTCACACAGTGAAAACATACAAGAAATGTTAGCGAAGTTAGCTAAAACAACAATTACTATATTATTATTGAAAATACATATCACACACACTCCAACCTAACAGTAAGACCTTGTAGCTTGAACTTAATTTTAGCTCTTTAAAATGTTCTCCCAACTTCATAACACCTTATCTTGCAATAACAACAGTTTTTATCAATTAGGGAGGCAGACATTATAAACTATGAATTATGAATACTTACCAATTGTGACTTTTGAAGTAGTTTATCGCCACATCACATTCCATATTTAATTTTTTGTTTCATGAACTTGTGCAGAATGTAGTAATGGTAAAACAACAAAATTTTCTCTAAGAGGTAACCTAACATACTTCTCAACACTGCCATCAAACTCTGAGATGTGCAAGTCTTCAGAGAGTTCCCTCACAACAAAAATTCCCAAATCACTTGAATTCATTGGATAGTCAAAGAAAGAGGTTCTATGTTTATACTCTTTGTACACAATAAATACTTTTCCTTCGCTCAAAATGATGTTCACAACAGTGGCAATACTATTCTGTATTTTCACACAATTGTCTCCTTCAGTTATTTTAATGACTAAACCACCAAGGAAAGCCTCTTGAAACTGGTTAACTGCTTTTGAAAATATCAAAGGTACAGGGCCATTGTTGTGTTCACGTCTAAGGGTCCTATTGATGGTCTCATCACGTGCATTGCTCTGAGCATTAATTTCGGATAGCCTGCGAATGACTTGGGCCAAAGGATTGCTAGGTCTTCTGACAAGCTTTTTAAGAGTGCCCAAGAAATTTTCAAAAGGAAAAGCAGAAAATTCCTCTAAATTACCATGCTGCTTTACATCCTCACAGAGGTGCACTAATCCATGCACGTTGTAACAAAGAAATTCCTGACCATATAACACACCAAAATGTTCAACAAAAGACACTAGACATCTATGAGCAAAGTCATTTAACAGAAAGCAAAATTTCCGACTGAGAAGAATATAAACAGAAACTGACAAAAGCATAAAATGGCTGTATACTGGTGGGGCCAGGACATTACAAAGGACCACTGGACCAGTGTATAACAAGAACTGCCTGAGTTCTGTAGCTTTCCACCTCAGTCTATGTGTTAGTGGTCTTGGTTTACGTGCAAAATCAGAAGGTATGTAAAATCTCAACCCTACAAGAGAATCTGAAATGACTTGACTCAGCCGGGAAGGTAAACGAACACGGTGTGGCCCTGAACTCAGCCAAAGATCTAAAAGTCTCCGCATCATCCCAAGACAAACAAGATGCATGTAGTCATGAGGAAAACCACCAACCATGTCAATGTTTGTTTCTATTAGAGGAGACTTAGCAACATGATGGTCTTCATCTATCATCTGCCGGAAAGAGAGGTCTGTCCTAAGTGGGGCATTCATTTCAGGAAAGGTCATTCGGTTTTTGAGATACAGGCCAGTTTGAGTACATTTACCACAGGCGGAGTGGCCAGTGTGACTCTTGATGGCTTTGATAAAAGCCCTAGCAGGTGCGTCACATACAACAGAACTAACTTTTAAAAAGAACCATTTGCCTTTAATGCCAAACCCACAGCTCAGTGTTTTCAATTCACTAACAAGATCTTTCAAATATTCGTTCAAAGATTTTGGTTTAGAGCTACCACAGAACAGTCCGATTACGAAGGGCCTCTTTAATTTACAGTCTTGAAGAATCCCAAGTATTGGCCAAAACTGTACAGAGTTGCTTTTAAACAGTGGAATGCCATCAAAGTTTAACTGCAGTCTAAAAATGTGTTGATCAGGAACTTTGGACCACATGTTTTCAAATGCTGTCTTTAGTGAATTTAGTATACCGAAGTAATGAAAATCTCCACCAGCTATCATTTGAGTCCTGTAAGAGGTTTTTGTTCTGAGCAGAGTTCTACCATCTTTGGGGAGGAAAGGGAGATGCACCCTAAGTATGGTCAAAAGGGCAGACAAAGCAATCAGAGAGATTCCAAAATTTACAGCCCAGCCGGCCAGTGAACCAACCAAATCATCACTCACTAAATTCTCCTCATCAGATTGATCATCATCAGAATCCACCTCTGATGATGACTCAGCACATGGCTCCTCAGAATCTGAGGCATGCCTGGAAGATAAATGATCTGAGTGTAATTCCTCCTCACTATCTTGAATGCAACCAAGGGAGTCAAATAAGTCATTAACTCTTTTAACAGCCCTCCTTCTAAGGTTATTTGGTTTACATTTACTTGCGATGTCCATGATGATAATTTGAAGGGAAAAGTCTCACCGAATAAATCTGTAAGAAAAAAACAAACAAAAATGCGTTGTAAAAAAGGAAGCAGGGTTAAAAGCAGACAGGCTACATAGTGATATCAGGCATAATTTCAGATATTAATTA